TTTACTTTTGGTGTCATATTTAAGAAATCGTGGCTGGGCGCAGTGGCTCACGCCTGTAATCCTAGCACTTTGGGAGGCCAAGGTGGGCACATCACCTGAGGTCGGGAATTGGAGACCAGCCTGACCAACGTGGAGAAACCTCGTCTCTACTAAAAATACAAAATTAGCCAGGCATGGTGGCACATGGGACTTTGTAGCTCTGCGTGAAACCACACTTTCCCCTACGGCTCTCTCAAAATGGGAATGTTTTCTTCCCTGTGCTTTTTGAATATCCATGGGCTTGAGGAGGGGTGGGTGGGGTGAGTGTCTTTTCTGCCGGTTGTTGATGCTTTCCTGGAACATTCTCCCTCCTTCCCATGAAAAATGGTTTCTCCCACCACCCTGTGGTTACCTTCATCTACCAAAGCCTGGGTACAAACATTCTTCCTTAGAGATTTCACTTTCTGAATCATTGCCACTTTCTCTAACACTTTCCTGTCCTTGGTGATATCAGTATCTTTGTAAATAACATTTCCAAAATACTGACCTCTCAGTTTCCTGCCAGTGATCCTGTCATCTCCCCAGTCTTTCATTCCCACGGTCATATCCCAGAGCTGTCCTGTCAAATAGCGACACCCTTTCCATAACAGAAATGGCATGCATCACGTTCCACTCCACTGTTCACTCCCTCTGGCACCCTCCCTGCGCTGAGACCACCAGTGCATCCTTCCCAGCTTCTCTGCCCATGGTCCACCACATCTCATGCTCTCACTGACTACCCTGCCAGCTGTAATGAGACTGTCAGCTGCTGGAATCTCTTCCTTGTGTGTGCTCAAGGCCCTTGCCCTGTCTTGGCTCCATCACTTCTCTCTTATTATTTTCATCTCACCTTCAAGTCTGAGTCTGCATCCACACAGTTGAGCCTGGCTGGGGAGAGCAAGCAGCACCTAAGGTCCCCTCATGGTCATGGCCACTAACTGGTCTCAGTTGGCCCCAAATCTTTGACAGTTCCCTTCAACCTCCCATTCTCCTAGATGCTATTTTACTATCCATAAAAGGACACAAAAGACCTCCACTTTGCTAAATTCATTTTTCCCCTAAATACATCACTTAGGAAAGTTAACGATACCCTGTTTTCTTGATTTGTAAGAGAGAGATAATGTTGAATATAACTTTACATAACTTAGGTAAATCACGTACCAAAAGTCTGCTTGTCAAAAATTAGAGATGCTGGCTGAGCACGGTGGCTCACACCTGTAACCCTAGCACTTTGGGAGGCCAACGTGGGTGGATCATTTGAGCCCAGGAGTTTGAGAATAGTCTGGGCAACATGGTGAAACCTGGTCTCATTAATTTAAAAACAATTTAAAAAATTACAGATGTTAGGCCTGGCGTGGTGGCTCATGCTTGTAAACCCAGTGCTTTGGGAGGCCCAGAGGGTCACCTGAGGCCAGAAGTTCAAGACCAGTTTGGGCAACAAAGCGAAACTCTGTCTCTACAAAAAAAAAAAAAAAAAATTTAAAACTATAGGTGCTTGCCTATAGACTTAGGTACCCAGGAGGCTGAGGTGGAAGGATCGCTTGAGCCCAGAAGTTTGACACTGCAGTGATCCGTGATTGCACCACTATATTTCTGCCTGGGCAACAACAACAACAACAAAAAAATCACATGCCAAATATGCTCTGATAGGAGTTGGGTTTTTCCACCAAAAAGAAAAAGAAAAAAAAAATAAAAGGTCAGGCACAGTTGCTCACGCTTATAATCCCAGCACTTGGGGAGGCCAAGGAGGGCGGATCCCCTGAGGTCTGGAGTTTGAGACCAGCCTGACCATGGAGAAACCCCATCTCTACTAAAAATACAAAATTAGCCAGGCGTGGTGGTGCATACCTGTAATCACAGCTACTTGGGAGGCTGAGACAGGAGAATTGCTTGAACACGGGAGGTAGAGGTTGTGGTGAGCCGAGATTGCACCATCGCACTCCAGCCTGGGCAACAAGAGAGAGACTCTGTCTCAAAAAAAAAAAAAAAAAAAAAGAGAGAGAGAGAAAGCTCTGCCTGTTTACCCGATCCTAAGCTGAATGTTGCTAAGCTGAGTGTTGCATCTGTGCCTGAGCTGGGTGGGTAAGCGTGAACTGCTGAGCCTGGGGTGATGGGTAAGCGTGAACTGTTGTGCCTGAGCTCGGTGGGTAAGCATGAACTACTGAGCCTGAGCGGGGTGGGTAAGCATGAACTGCTGAGCCTGGGGTGGTGGGTAAGCGTGAACTGCTGAGCCTGAGCTGGGCAGGTAAGCATGAACTGCTGAGCCTGGGGTGCTGGGTAAGCCTGAACTGCTGAGCCTGGAGGGTAGAGGTTGTGGTGAGCCGAGATTGCACCATCGTGACTCCAGCCTGGGCAACAAGAGAGAGAGACTCTGTCTCAAAAAAAAAAAAAAAAAAAAGAGAGAGAGAAAGCCTGGCCTGTGTTTGCATCTGATCCCAAGCTGAATGTTGCTAAGCTGAGGCGCTGCATCCAGCCTGAGCTGGGTGGGTAAGCAAAGTGAATACGAGCCTGTGGGGTGATGGGCAGGGGGCGTGAACTGTTGTGCCTGGAGCTCGGGGTGGGTAAGCATGAACTACTGAGCCTGAGCGGTGGGTAAGCATGAACTGCTGAGCCTGGGGTGGTGGGTAAGCGTGAACTGCTGAGCCTGAGCTGGGCAGGTAAGCATGAACTACTGCTGAGCGCCTAAAGTTGCAAGCTCTGAACTGCTGGAGCTGCCAAAGTGGTAAGCATGAATCAGGTTGAGCCTGAGCTGGGTGGGTAAGTGCGTGAACTGCTGAGCCTGGGGTGCTGGGTAGCTCTGAACTGCTGAGCCTGACAGGCTGTGCGGGTAAGCATGAACTGCTGAGCCTGAGCTGGGTGGGTAAGCGTGAACTGCTGAGCCTGGGGTGCTGGGTAAGCATGAACTGCTGAGCCTGGGGTGCTGGGTAAGCGTGAACAGCTGTGCCTGAGCTGGGCGGGTAAACGTGAACTGCTGAGCCCGAGCTGGGCGGGTAAGCGTGAACTGCTGTGCTTGAGCTGGGCGGGTAAGCGTGAACTGCTGAGCCTGAGCTGGGCGGGTAAGTGTGAACTGCTGTGCCTGAGCTGGGCGGGTAAGCGTGAACTGCCGAGACTGAGCTGGGTGGGTAAGCGTGAACTGCTGAGCCTGGGGTAGTGGGTAAGTGTGAACTGCTGAGCCCGAGCTGGGCGGGTAAGCGTGAACTGCTGAGCCCGGGCTGGGTGGGTAAGCGTGAACTGCTGAGCCCAGGCAGGTGGGTAGCGTGAACTGCTGAGCCGGGCTGGTTGGGTAGCGTGAACTGCTGAGCCTGGGGTGGTAGGAGGACCTGGATTCCCTGTGGCTGTTCTGTCTAGATGAGAAAGATGCACAGCAAAGGGCTCAGGCCGATAATCTTATGACCTTTTTCTGATAATAAATTTCCTAATTACTGTTCTCACTAATTCCAAGCTAAGGAGCTATTCTCGAAAATTGATGTGGGATTAGGCATACTTGCTAAATCATATAACCGAGACTTCAGTAAGCTGAGACACAGGCTAGAGGGCTAGAGGAGCCTTGTGTGTCAGTGTGAGCCACCAGGAAAGCGGGCTCTCTCTGCCTCTACTCACTGTGCGTTCCATTGCCAAGATTCCTGAAGTTCTGATACTTTCTTTTCCCCATCTGTAAAAGATGAGGATAATAATCACTACCAAGATGGCTACAGTAAAGTTTAATGTGACCATGCATGTAAGGCATTGATATTGTGCCCAATGTCGTCTAAATTTTCAGGATGAACTGCTGAGCCCGGGCTGGGTGGGTAAGCGTGAACTGCTGAGCCTGGGGTGCTGGGTAAGCGTGAACAGCTGTGCCCGAGCTGGGAGGGTAAGCGTGAACTGCTGAGCCCGAGCTGGGCGGGTAAGCGTGAACTGCTGTGCCCGAGCTGGGCGGGTAAGCGTGAACTGCTGTGCCCGGGCTGGGCGGGTAAGAGCGTGAACTGCCTGGGCCGGGCTGGGTGGAGTAGCGTGAACTGCTGAGCCTGGGGTGGTAGGAGGACACAGGATTCCCTGTGCGGCTGTTCTGTCTAGATGAGAAAGATGCACAGCGAGAGACTGCGGCGATAATCTTATGACCTACTGACAGTAATAAATTTCTAATTACTGTTCTCACCTAATTGCAGCCCCAAGGACTATTCTCAATTGATGTAAGTTGAGCATACTCATAATCATATAACTGAGACACAGCAGTAAAAGCTGAGACACAGGCTAGAGGGCTAGAGGGAGCCTTGTGTGTCGGGAGGTGTGGGCCACCAGGAAAGCGGAGCTCTCTCTGCCTCTACTCACTGTGGATTCCCATTGCCAAGATTCTGAGAGGTTCTAATCCTTTCTTTCCCCAACTCTGTAAAATGAGGATAATAATCACTATGTCCAGATAGCTACAGTAAGTTTAAATATGACCATGCATGTAAGGCATTGATAGGCTGTGCCCAATGTCGTCTAAATTTGCTCAGGGAAATAGCAGCAGGCAATTACTTGGCACATTACAGCCATGAACCCAAGTCAGTCATCTTGCGCTGAACAAACCGCTTTCATCAGTATGTTGGCTTCTGGCTTCCAGGTGCTTAACATATACACTCTTTACAAAAGGTGAAGAATTCTGTTGCTGAACTGCTGAGCCCGGGCTGGGTGGGTAAGCGTGAACTGCTGAGCCTGGGGTGGTGGGGAGGACCTGGATTCCCTGTGGCTGTTCTGTCTAGATGAGAAAGATGCACAGCAAAGAGACTGCGGCCGATAATCTTATGACCTTTTTTCTGATAATAAATTTCTAATTACTGTTCTCACTAATTCCAAGCTAAGGGCTATTCTCAATTGATGTAGGATTGAGCATATACATAATCATATAACCGAGACTTCAGCAGTAAAAGCTGAGACACAGGCTAGAGGGCTAGAGGGAGCCTTGTGTGTCGGAGGAGTGTGGGCCACCAGGAAAGCGGGCTCTCTCTGCCTCTACTCACTGTGCGTTCCATTGCCAAGATTCCTGAAGTTCTAATCCTTTCTTTCCCCATCTGTAAAATGAGGATAATAATCACTATGTCAGATGGCTACAGTAAAGTTTAATGTGACCATGCATGTAAGGCATTGATATTGTGCCCAATGTCGTCTAAATTTTCAGGAAATAAACAGCAACAATTATGACACATGCAAGCCATGAACCCAAGTCAGTCATCTGCGCTGAACAAACCCTTTCATCGAGTATCATTGACTTCTGGCTTCAGGTGTAACATATACACTCTTTACCAAAAGGTGAAGAATTCTGGCCACGCTCAGTGGCTCATGACTGTAATCCCGGACCTTTGGGAGGCTGAAGCGGGAGGATCGCTTGAGCCCAGCAGTTCAAGAATAGCCTGGGCAACATAGTGAGACCCTGTCTCTATTATAACTAAATACATACATACATACATACATACTTACATACATACATACATAAGGTTTTTTTAAAAAAGGTGAAGAATTCTGAACTACATAATTTCCTGTTACCCTTTGGATCTCTTCATCTACCTCAGAAATGCTGTGTGTGTTTGCAACACACTATCATAGAAACAGGCATCATAACCTTTTAAGTGTAGGGCTTTCCAGGGTGGCAGGGGCGTTACTAGAGAGCAGATTAATTGCTGTCATCTCAGTGGGCAGGAGCTTGAAATGCTGTATGCGTGTGCTGCCATCTTGTGGTGTCTTGGGGGAACATGTGTCTGATTATTCTGGAGTCGCTAGCTGACTGGGTGACTTCTAACCTTTTTGAGCAGGATTACATGTTACATGTTACATACATACACATGGTACATAGGCACCCATAAATCCATACCAAAAATGGTGTTCCAGACAATGGGTTATTTCACCCATCAAATTATTTACAGGTTGCTCTCAGTGTAGGAGAAGGGAGGACAAGGCACACCCGTGTCTAAGGAGGAAACACATGCCCCTTAGCAGGCCCAGGAGGCTGTCCTGTGGAGGGAGGCCCTGTTTGCTAACTGCTTCCAAGGGAAGCAGATCTGGGAAACCGAAGGCCTTAGAGATTCAGCTCAAGATGTACCCAACTCAGTTCTGCTGGTGTGCCAGCACTGCTCGTCCCCAGTCCCTCAACACATACCTTACTCATTCTCTGGAAAGGTACACACATTCCAAGTAAGAGTGTGGCAGTGCCAGTCCCCAGGCTGCTCTGGACATTCACACACTGAAGGGCATTGGGGTTGTGTCCAGTTTGGGGCTACTCTGCATAAATCGGCTATAAACACTTGTGCACAGGCTTTTGTGTGAACTAAGTTCTCATTTCTGTTGGCTAATTCCGAGAACAGTTAGTACTAGGTCACATGGTAGTTGCATGTTTAGCTTTTCTTTTTTTTTTCCGCCCAGGCTGGAGTGCAGTAGCGCTATCACTGCCCTTCTCTCAGGTACTTGATTCCGGAAACTGACTCTCAACCTGCCTTTGCCTACCTCTCAGTCTCAGAGGAACCCCTTCGTTGAGTCTTTTCCTCCTTCTAGCTTCTGCATTTCTCTCACACCATCTCACCTCCGCCTGTCCATCATGAGCCTATTCTATTCCCTGTCCTAAGTTTGCACAAGAAAAAAACCTGAGGCTCAGATTGGGTAACACAGCCACAGGTTGACAGCCCAGATGTGATGAGCAGGAACAGAGAGAGCAGAGTCCCCGGGTGAATGGTCAGGCCTTGGGGACTTCAACAAGGAAAGGTGAGGTGCTGAGGCCTGGGGCTCTGAACCTGAGGAGTATAGGACACTGGGAGGACAGCAGGTGGAGTCATGGCTAAGGGAGCTGAGAACATTCCTGTATCCTTGATTCTAGCACTAGGATCAACTCCAGGAAGACACACGTGGGCCCTGTCAATGGAAAACTTTGTGCTGGTGGGGTGTCCTAGAAGGGAGCAGGACAATGGGGAGGAGGGTCTCTCAGTCCCTGTGTGACAGGCGTTGGGTGATGGTCAGGAAAGAGGTTACTTTCTATCATTTTGATTTCTTGTTCAGATTTTGCATGAATTGAATAGTCAGTTTCTAGGAGGTTTTATTTCAGGAAATGGCAGCCTCATTCCCTGGGCTGTCCCCTGTACCTACCCCTCAGGATGCCATTTTCTTTCCTTTTCTTTTCCTTTTTTTTTTTTTTTTTTTGAGACAGAGTTTCACTCTTGTTGCCCAGGCTGGAGTGCGATGGCGCGATCTTGGCTCACTGCAACCTCCGCCTCCCAGGTTCAAGCGATTCTCCTCCCTCAGCCTCCAGGTATGTTGCCTAGAATGAAAGAATGACCTGGAGAGAAGTACAAAAATCATACGAAAAGAAGAATTGAAAAGAAAAGGCAAAACGAGGTTTATGGAGTACATTCACCACCGAGTACGCTCACCGAGTATGTTGCATGAGAATCCCTTGAACCTGAGAGGCAGAGGTTGCAGTGAACTGAGTTTGTGCCACTGCACTACAGCCTGGGTGAAATAGCAAGATTCTGTCTCAAAAAAAATATTGTGGCCAGGTGCGGTGACTCACACCTGTAATCCCAGCACTTTGGGAGGCCGAGGCAGGTGGATCACGAGGTCAGGAGTTTGAGATCAGCCTGGCCAACATGATGAAACCCCGTCTCTACCAAAAAAGACAAAAATTAGCCGGGCATGGTGGCATGCATCTACAATCCCAGCTACTCGGGAGGCTGAGGCAGGAGAACTGCTTGAACCCTAGAGACAGAGGTTGCAGTAAGCCGAGATCGTGCCACTGCACTCCAGCCTGGGCAACAAGAGCAAGAGCAAGAACAAGACTCCATTAAAAAAAAAAAAAAAAAAGTTGGTTTTATTGGCCGAGCACAGTGGCGCACACCTGTAATTCTAGCACTTTGGGAGGCTGAGGCAGGTGTATCGCTTGAGTCTAGGAATTTGAGACCAGCCTGGGCAATGTGGCAAAACCCCATCTCTACAAAAAATATGAAAATTAGCCAGGCATGGTGGCATGTGCCTGTAGACCCAGCTACTCGTGGGTTTGAGGTGGTAGGATTGCGAGAGTCCAGGAGGTCAAGGCTGCAGTGAGCTGTGATCATGCCACTGCACTCCAGTCTGGGTGACAAAGTGAGACCTGGTCTCTGAAAAAAAAAAAGACAAACCCCAACTGTCCTGCAGTCTCTTCAGTGCTCTGGGGCAGGAACATAACTGACTTGGCAAGGACAGGCTGTGGTTCAGGGAAGGCCACTCAGAAACTAGGTGGTCAGAATCCTGAGTGGGGTACAGGGGTGGAAGGGGAGAGAGCTTTTGTTTGTAAGAGTCTGATCAAACTATAACACTGATCATTCTTGGCACCAGCTACATTTTCATCTGCATAGAGGGAATCAGGCTGAGCGAATAGGTTAGTTTGGCTCAAGGAAGAAACTGGTCTGGGTAATGTAAGGATGAGAGTAATTCAAGGCTATTGTAATTCAAGGCTATTGTTCCTGGGTTTTTTTTGTTGTTGTTTTTTTTTTTGGCCGGCGGAGGCGGGGTGGTGGTGCGGAGGGCGGGGGGGCGGATGGAGTTTCACTCTTATTGCCCCGTGCAGTGATGAGATCTTGGCTCACTGCAACCTCCGCCTCTCAGGTTCAAGCAATTCTCCTGCCTCAGCCTTCCGAGTAGCTGGGGTAGCCTGCCACCACGCCTGGCTAATTTTCTTTATATATTTAGTGGAGATGGAGTTTCGCCATGTTGGCCAGGCTGGTCTTGAACTCCTGACCTCAAGTGATCCACCCGCCTCAGCCTCCCAAAGTGCTAGGATTACAGGCGTGAGCCACCGTGCCCGGCCCAAGACAATTGTTCTTAGAGGTAGAGAAGAGGACCTCCCCTTTCTCTTGGGGTGTGCCGGCCCCAGGTATGGACCTGGCACCAGCAGAAACAGTGATTGGGGTTTGAGCAGCAATACGGCCTCATGCTTACTCCTGGGGTTCTCTATGGCAGGGTATCACCAGAGGTTCAAGAGAGTGTCCTAAGTATCAGTATCATACACTTCCAACCACTAAGTGACACAACGATGACCTCTAAAGACCAACCACCCATCTAGCATCAGGCTAGGTGCTATATACCAATCTCTAACCCACACCATAACTGCCAATTTGAGACTATTACTGCATTTTCCAGAAAAAGAGACTTAGGCCAGGCATGGTGGCTCATGCCAGTAATCCCAGCACTTTGGGAGGCTAAGGCAGGAGGATCACTTGAGCCCAGGAGTTCCAGACCAGACTGGGTAACATGGCAAAACTCCATCACTACAAAAATTTTTCTAAAATTAGCTGGGCATGGTGGCATGCACCTACAGTTGCAGCTACTTGGGAGGCTGAGGCAGGAGGATGGCTTGAGCCCCGGGCGTCAAGGCTGCAGTGAACTGTGATCATGCCACTGCAGTCCAGCCTGGGTGACAGAGTGAGATCCTGTCTCAGAGAGAGAGAGAGAGGGAGATTGAGAGACTGACGCTCAAACCGATAGATTCACACAGGTGGAGGCAGGATTCCAATGTATTGCATGCTGCAGCCGTTGAGCTTCATGAGGGGGTAACCACGTGCTCACCACTGAGCCTCCAGAGCCCAGCCATGACTTGGTGAAATTCTGTCTAGTAGGTATCTCTGCATTATGTAAAATCATGAGCAATTTCTGTACCCCAAATAGTGCCCCACAGGGAAACTGGGAACTCAACAATACAAGCTATAGCACTTCTCTGCCCATACTTGACCTCGTCCAGGACAGGATTCACTGTGAGAGTCATTGCAAAGGAGTCATAGCTTCTGCATTTTTGGCATCAATAGTCATTGGTTTCCTTATTTCCTAATGTTTCCCAAACTTAAAAAAAAAATACTTTTTTTAATATATAAACATTTTGGGGACTCCTCTTTGAGCCAAAGTCATCTCACTAAGACTCTACCAATGTGCTAGTGGAGTTGTTAGTCCAGACTCCACACACTTCGGTCACAACCATGAAATGCTTTCAGAGGGAAAGATGGGTGGCACACACCTGTAGTCCTAGCTAGGCGTGGTGACATGCCCTGTAGTGCCAGATACTTGTGGGGCTGAGGTGGGAGGACTGTCCAACACATGGACATTGAAGAATCTTCCAGGACCCACCTACCAATTCCCAGAAGAAACCAGCTGAGAATTTATGTGCCATGTGCATCTCTGGGATATTTCCTAAGAGAACAGAGGCTGAGGCAAGGTGCACAAATTCTGTATCTCTGGCAGAGCCCTCCACATGAAACTGCCTTTGCAAAATTAGACAGTCAGAGAAATCTGACATAGCTGACTTCATCTTTCCTCTAACCTCCAATCTGTTCTTGGTCATCTCTGGGGACATAAGCCAAACTAACTTTGGGAAACATTTAGTTTATAGTTTAACCTTAGCCTACCATAGCCCTTCCCAAAACTAAATCACCTTTGTAAAACTAATGAAAGTCCGCAAGGTTAGGAGAATGAGAAGAGCCTGAATTCTACTAAGATGTAGGTGTAAAGGATAAACAACCATTGTTCCGGAGATCACAAGATTTGCAACTTCCCCAATTTCTCTTGTATATAACATCGCTATTGTAGAACCTAAGATTGGTCTTTTGAGACTTCTGCATTTCCGACAATTGGCTAATTCCACCCAGACTCATGACTAATGACTAACCAGTCCTCTGGCACCCTCACCCAGAGGCAAACCGTTTTCCATGCCCCTGTGATGGCATCCCCAACCAATCAGTAGCATTCCCTGGTCCCTTGCCCATTCCCTAGTTCCCTGCCCACCAAATTATCCTTGAAAACCCCTAAACTCAAAGCCTTCAGGGAGATCAGTTTGAGTAATAACCACATCTCCTGTGTGGTGGTAGGTCTTGCATCAATTAAACTCTTCACTGCAATGCCGTGGTCTCAGTGAATTGATTTTGTCTGTGCAGTGGGGAGGACGAACCTATCAGGCAATTACAAAAACATACTGGGAGTCTGGGCACCTCTGCCTCCGCTATCCACATGGCCACTTCCTTCTAACATCAAGCCTGGGACATCATCACGCTCATTCCTCCAATCGTGGCCCTTTCCTCAGAACAACCTTGCTGAAAGTCAATGGAGACAGACTCTCACTCCTGTCTCAACTAGAGACACTTGTTGACACAAGAAACCATGCTTCTGAAGATCACTTATAAAGTTGGTTCCTAGAAATGTGGAGACAATTTACCCATTGGGTCTTTTTGTTTTCTTTTCTTTTTTTTTTTTTTTTTCCTGAGCTGGAGTCTCACTCTATTGCTCAGGACGGAGTGCAGTGGCATGATCTTGGCTCATTACAAACTCTGCCTCCCAGGTTCAAGAGACTCTCCTGCCTTAGCATCCTGAGTAACTGGGATTACAGGCGTGTGCCACTACACCCAGCTAATTTTGTATTTTAGTAGAGACGGGATTTCACCATGTTGACCAGGCTAGTCTCAAACTCTTGACCTCAAGTGATCCACCCACCTCGGCCTCCCGAAGTGCTGGGATTACAGGTGTGAGCCACCGTATGCAGCCTACATCATGCTTTTAATTTGCATTTCCTTAATGGCTAGTGATGTTGAATATCTTATGTGTTTATTGATATTCTTTTTTTTTTTTTGAGACAATATTCTTATATCATCTTCAATGTGATGTATCCTCCTACCTTTTGCTCATTTTTAAACTGAATTTTCTTTTTTTGTTGTTGTTGTTTTATGACAAGGTCTTGCTCTGCCACCCAGGCTGGAGTGCAGTGACACAATCACAGCTCACTACAGTCTTAAATCCTGGGCTCAAGTGATCCTCCCACTTCAGCCTCAGCAGTAGTTGGAACCACGGGCATCACTGCACCTGGCTATTAATGTCAAATTTTCAGAGTTGTCAGACATTTGTTTTGCAAATATTGTATCCCACTTTGTAAACTTGTCTTATTTATTTAGAGACAGGGTGTTGCTCTGTTGCCCAGACTGGAGTGCATGGGCACAATCTCAGCTCATTGTAGCCTCAGCCTCCAGGGCTCAAATGATCTTCCCATCTCAGCCTCCAGCGTAGCTGGGACTACAGGCGTGTGCCGTCACACCTAGCTAATTTTTGTACTTTTTTGTAGAGATGAAATTTCACCCTGTTGCCCAGACTGGTCTTGAACTCCTGGACTGAA